CGAAATGCATGATACTGTTCACAGACTGTTTCAACTATAGTTAAGTTTGCACGAAATACTCTTGCACTGCAAAAGTACCATGACTACTACATACTACACAGTATACAGGATAAAAATCACTATCATCCGTGCATGTATATCTAAATCATTAAATATCATCACAAAACTGCCTTTCTATCCCAATTCATTTTTCTAATGTAAAATTAAAAAAAAATATTATATGGAAAGAAAAACGCAAAAAAGTAAGACAACTTGTGAGGCTCGAACTTGTGATAAAATTTAATGTGTATGACATTCTAACTTTTCCATCAAGACATTTCAAATTATGTTTCTTATCTGACATGATATTCGCTTTGAAAACCCTGTTTTACCTATTAAGACAAAATGTTGTTAACTTTAGTGTACATGTACAAAGAAAATGTAACGTCACTCTCACATTATTAAAGCGGCGTACTTATCGCTTTACGCACGTAGTAACTAAAAAAATTACTATCATTAACATATATAAAAGTGATTAAACTGTAAAGAAATACATATCTTTTGATACAGTAATATGTTTAAGGAAAGAAAACTAATTTAATAAAATAAAGTCGCATGCACAGTGCGTCTATATCAAACCATTGTGTGTGTTCGAGTTAATTCTTATATTTTATATATTTGATTTTTGCATATTAAAAGCAAGTATGGTTTAGCATTTTCAAATGCGCGGCAAAATGCTTATATCATATAATTATGCCTTAATTGACATCATTTTATGAAGTGTGACATCATTCCGCCTAAGAATTGATTCTAACAAGATATAAAAGAGAACCAATGTATTTATAACTAACCACATTTATTCTTGTCAAAATAAATGCGTGTAATTAAGGAAATTTGACTTTGCCTTGAGAAAGAATAAAACACATGATGTCAGTACGGAGTGGCATATATGAGTCTGGGTAACTCTTCTTTACAGACAGTACGTCCGTGTAATTGTCTTATTTTATTCACAAAACACAACAATGTATATACGTGAACTTACATCTATATAACTTGCTACCATACTTTGCTTCATCTACAATTGCTGTAAAGAGGGCACAGCTGCATTTCTAGAAGATTTAACTGTCCTGAAAAATCATAATATAACTTCAGCATAAAATGATAAAGAGCACATTGAAAATATTTCATAAGTGATCACATGTGCGAAAGTGTTAATACTGTAGGAACGTGTTCACTTTTGTGTGCATGTGTAGTTATGTATTTTGTGTGTTCGTGCGTGGGTGTGTTACCATATTGCTTTATGTGAAATATAAGTCAAAATATGGAATGTCGAAAAATGTGTGATGTACAAAGGCTCAATACAGTTTTTCAAGCGTTTAAATTTATGTATAATGAAATATTAAATAACTGTTTCCTTAAACAGGCGCGTGTTTGTGACTGACCCATGCGATATCACCTTATGCGTAATGTTTATCTTAAAAACTAAACAAAGAGTTTTAATTATAATAAGAAAAAAATATTTAAATTTTCATTTGTTCAATAAAAAATCCATTCTAAATGTCGAAAACTCAGTTCATGTATATACAATTTAAAATCTGGGTAATCCTGAATAACGTAGATAAATAACCAAAACTATCGAATGAAAACCAAGAGTTGTCTGTCCTGAATTGCGAGTAAACTCGATCTTGCTAATTATATTAATGCTAAAACAATACAAACAAAACCGTTTTAAAACTTCTGGTTCGTTGCGATATTTTATATTCACGAGTTTTAAAATTCTTACACCGACAACAGGCTCCTGATCTAAGCTTCGTATCAATGTAAAAATAAACATATGAGCCGCGTCACGACAAAACCAACATAATGGGTTTGCGACCAGCATGGATCCAGACCAGCCTGCGAATCCGCGTAGTCTGATCAGGATCCATGCTGTTCGCTTTCAAACTCTATAACAAGTAGAGAAACCGTTAGCGAACAGCGTGGATCCTGATCAGACTGCGCAGATCCATGCTGGTTGCAAACCAATTATGTTGGTTTTGGCGTGACGCGGCTCGTATATTTTGACACCAAGGGTAAGTGAATTAACAGTTAACCGTTTAACTTAACACCTGTCGGCCATATTACATGCAATCATACACATTCTTTGTATTAATGTAAATGAAAAATTCTGACAATTATTTTCATTTTATTTATTCGTCTAAATGTATAATGATTTAAATAAAAAAGAAATGTTTGTTTCCTATTTTTGTTTAAGATTTGTATTCATTTAAGAATAGGTTAAAATAAATAAGAAATATAACAACATGTGTACAGAAACTTAAAAAAGTAAATAAAATTGAAAAGAGCGGAGTCTTTAAATTGACTTATGTTTGCAACAAATAATGGGGATTTGTATAAAAATAAAAACTGCGAATATAAAACAAGTATTCTGCTCGTTAAATTATCAAGACTGAGAAACAATTTTATCTTGAAATTTATAAACCTATTTTTTAGAAGTACTAACCAATTTTCTTTTAAAATATGTTAATCTGTTAAATCTGATAATTTTTGTTATTATATTGAATAGATAAAACACAACCTATATTTCGGCTATCAATTTCATAAATTACTATTAAAATAAATAGAATTTGAGTGTCTCTTTTCGATATGATCTTTCTTGCACATAATAAATAATTTGATTCGCGCCCCTGCTGTTAACCCATTGCTTCATGAGCATTTTGTGAAAAATGGCTGTTTTCATTGAAAAGTCTCCCGTTACAAGTTCAAATTGCTATAATACTATAAAAACTGCTTCAACACTAATCAAACTTGGCACAAATGTTGACTGGACCATTGTCCTTGCAACAACATGCTCAGACTTAAATTTTCTGTTACCATGGCAACGAGGGGACATCTCAAAATTGCCAAAAATCACTATTTTTGCGTTGATTTTTTCCATCAAAATTGATTTCAAAGTGCTGCAACTTATCAATGGATTGAGATAGAGTCAAATGCTTTTCAGCGTTGGTTACACGTTACCTTATGATCAATCTGGGGTCATTTACAGCCTCTCACAAGTCCAAAATTTTCTTGGCGATGAGGGGGACTCCGACCCCCTTCAAACCCCCCAAAACAGAAGGGGGCACATCCCCCTTCTGGCAACCCCCTGATGTATCTTTTGGTTGGGGGGCCGCGCCGAAAAAGAGGTCAATTTTTTTAACAACATTTCTTAAACAAAAACAAGTGTTTAGGGCCTAAATAAGGCATTTTTTTCATCATTTGAGACAACAAAAAGGGGGGGGGGTGAAAAAGGCGTTAAAAGGCGTGTATATGAAGTAATGGGTTAACTGAAAATGATGAAAATACTTGAAATTACCCTAAATCGCGTTTTTTCATGTTTAAACATGGCCTGTCATATAAATTTGAAGAAAAATTGTTGTTTTGTAGATTTTTTTTTTTTTTCATTAACCCATTGCTTCATGAGCATTTTGTGAAAAATGGCTGTTTTCATTGAAAAGTCTCCCGTTACAAGTTCAAATTGCTATAATACTATAAAAACTGCTTCAACACTAATCAAACTTGGCACAAATGTTGACTGGACCATTGTCCTTGCAACAACATGCTCAGACTTAAATTTTCTGTTACCATGGCAACGAGGGGACATCTCAAAATTGCCAAAAATCACTATTTTGCGTTGATTTTTTCCATCAAAATTGATTTCAAAGTGCTGCAACTTATCAATGGATTGAGATAGAGTCAAATGCTTTTCAGCGTTGGTTACACGTTACCTTATGATCAATCTGGGGTCATTTACAGCCTCTCACACGTCCAAAATTTTCTTGGCGATGAGGGGGACTCCGCCCCCCTTCAAACCCCCCAAAACAGAAGGGGGCACATCCCCCTTCTGGCAACCCCCTGATGTATCTTTTGGTTGGGGGCCGCGCCGAAAAAGAGGTCAATTTTTTTAACAACATTTCTTAAACAAAAACAAGTGTTTAGGGCCTAAATAAGGCATTTTTTCATCATTTGAGACAACAAAAAGGGGGGGGTGAAAAAGGCGTTAAAAGGCGTGTATATGAAGTAATGGGTTAAGTGATAATTGAGATCGCTCAAGATTATAAAGTCCAATCAGTTGACCAATCAAGCATACATAGGTCGTGTCACACACACTGATTAATCCCTATGCACACAATGGTCTCATTGGCCTCCAGTGTATTATTTCATTAATAAATCTAAAAACAATTACATTTTCTTTGGGCTCATTCAGTGAATTACTGAATTCCAATCAAATAAGTCACCATTTTAGAACTATAACATACTTTAAGGGCATGACTGGTGACATGTCCGGGGTCCGTACTCGACAGCGAAAGCTGCTTTTTGTGCCCGAAAGGGCGGATGGACCCTCATTAAGCATTAACATACATACATACATACTGATTAATCCCTTTGTACTACCATGTCCAGGGCTGTAATACCTTGACATCTTCGGTGTTTAAATGTCGTTATTTTTAACTCGGAGTCTTTTTTACCCTGAAGGGAAGTTATGATTAATGCATTTAACAAATGCCCTTTTCATTTTTTTTTGTTTTTGCATTTTACATACAAATTATTAATTAAACAAGATACAGTTTAGAAATCAAAATCAAACTCGTAACCTCCCAGTCTAAATTTATGGATATATCCCTGCTTTAATTATCTAATCCGGCGGCCAAATTGGATAGCGAAACAGATTAAACAGTGTTAAAGTTTTCTAAAAACAAATCAGTTTAACCCAGAAATAAGCTGTTGTTCACAAAATGCAACTATTCTATTGATCGCATATTGATATTGCAACGATAAAAAATAACTTTTAACCTACCTTGTTTTGCAATATTCTGAATTTTATTTACTATCCATTTCTAATCCCGTTTTTTCTTTTTTCATTTCGCCCGCGCTATTTCTGATTGGTTGATAGGATTCACGTGATACAAAACCAACGCTTTAAACTCATTGGCTGTTTTGAAAACGCGTGATATACCTAGATACCGTTTGTAGCATTAATAATGCCACTGATTTATATTAAGGTCGGTGATAATGCGGAAGAAAGCAGCATACTAAGATCTTTATTCGATCCAAAATAATGCAATATTACATGTATTAAATTGGAAATATCATGTATCCATAAACGATAACTTTGCATACATGTATAACATAACCATTGATACTTTTTCATAGGCAAAACTTTGATTCTAATGCTCAATCGGTTATTTAATTTTTTGATAATAATTATAATAATAATAATATTAATAACAAATAATAATAATAATAATAATAATACTTATGATGATGATGATGATAATAGTGATAATAATAATAATAATAATAATAATAATAATAATAATATTATGATGATAATGATGATGATGATGATGATGATGATGATGATAATAATAATAATAATCATAATAATAATAATAATAATAATAATAATAATAATAATAATAATAATAATAATAATAATAATAATAATAATAATAATAATAAAATAATAATAATAATAGTAAAAGACGTTTTAGAAGCGCTAAGAAATATTTATAAATTACGCATTTTTTTTTGAGACAACAACAATAAGCGGGTAAAACAAAAGACCCACATTAAATTTACACATATGACAAAAGCCCCCCCCCCAGTCCATCAAACAAAAGCCTCCCTAAGGTTTATAGACCAGACTGATTACTATCTATTTTTGCACGCCCAGCGTTCGGGAACTTGGGTTATACTTCAAATAAATCTAGACAAGTATGCGCCTTTCACTTTTATTTTCTTGATAAGCTTTGAAAAGCGATTCTCTGAAAATATTCATTTACATTTGTACTGCACAATATATAATAAAGTAAACGTCATCAATGAATTACACAATAAATCAAATTAGAACTTTTGTACCTTTAAATTTAAATCTTAATGTAAATTATCTTTCAAAACAATTGCATTTATTTGTTAAAATACATCAAGTTCCAGATTTAAACTGACGAGGTTCTCAATAACAATTGTTTGATGAACTGGGGGGGGGGGGGCTTTTGTCCACCTTGTCATTTTTAGATGGGAGGGGGGCTTTTGTCCGTATCCCCATTAAAATAAATAAATTACTTACTTACTTATACACATAAATGAAGTATATAGATCCTTTCACATTATCTGCGGATTTCATAATTAAAATAAAACTTTATTAGTATAAGAATATTTGGAGTATCGGTAAAAACTCGAAAGTCCAATTTAAAAAGTGATTTTACTATCAATATATAATTTATTATGTTCTTAACTTGATTTTTTTTTAATCAAACTACAACAATTTTTATTTTTTTTTAAACAGAAATTTACTTTTACAAAAACTGTTTCCAAGATACATAATTTTATTTTAACCAGGTAACAAATGTTAATTTACATAGCACCGTCATGTTCCCCTGTCCTGTCACCGAATTATGCAGAAACACGGCTGATGGGAGACGAGGAAACTCGGGAGATGATGATGATATTTTTCAAGAAATGCTATTTCGAATAATTTGACTTCATCTATCAACAATACATGTACATACACCCCAGTGACATCCATCTGATTCTAGCTTGTGAACTTAGATATAATTGGACCTGGCAGCAGGGTACTTCAAAGTTTACTTTAAGATAAATCTTAATTGTGTCTTGTTTAAATGACGAATTCCGCCAAATTAAAGGAAAACAACAACACGACGCTGCAAAAGCATTGGAAAGAATACAGCAGCTATGTCTGTTTCATTTTAATATGTCGGGTTAGAGTCATTATAATATCTAGAACAAAATCACATAGGATTACAATTTAATTCCCTTATTTCGTACATGAATTATATTAGAAATTGACAGTAAAAAATACCGTTAAGACATTCAACACCAATTGCGCTAACTTACCTAATCGGAGAAAACCGACACTCGATATACCCTGCTGCGTTTATGATCAATATCCGAATCAATATCCGGCTTAATCAGTATTGTCTTCGAATATGGCAATACAGCACGTGGCTATTACACAATATTATGTCATAAATGAGACCGCGCGAAAAGAAATCAAAATTGGGGAATTCGGAACTTCATAAGATTTCTATTCAAAACTTGTGTACAGAATCGCAAATCTTTGTTTTCTGAAATAAATAAATAAATAAATAAATAAATAAATAAATAAATAAATAAATAAATAAATAAATAAATAAGAAATATATGAATAAATGAGTAATGAATGAATGAATGAATGAATGAATAAATAAATAAATAAATAAATAAATAAATAAATAAATAAATAAATAAATAAATAAATGAATGAATGATTGGTTGATTGATTCAATGAATGAATGAATGAATGAATGAATGAATGAATGAATGAATGAATGAATGAATGAACGAACGAACGAACGAACGAACGAACGAACGAATGAATGAGATATCATTGTTTTTTTTTTACATATGCAAGTACATGTATTATATTATGTATAGCCTATTTTTATAGGACATATGTCAACGTAAAATTTAATTGCTGTGTGGACAATCCCTATTTCATCTACGTGATTTCACAATTATTTTAACTTTCACGATTTCAACTTCACAGATCTACGATTTTATTATAATTAATTCATGTTTTGAACATCACAATTTCAACTTTATCATTTTCTCATGTTTGGCTTATCATTATAAAATATTATAATGATAATGAAAAGGAAATTACAAAATAACATGATTCACCATAGATGCAAAATGCAAAACAGTACTATCTAATCGTCAATCGCAATTGTAAAGTATTCGCTATTTATCTGCGGGTGTATGCTAAAAAGCAAACCAAGCAGTATTGAGCTAGAATACCGCGTCTGCATGTTACAGGTGGATGTCTTACACGTTCTGTGCACTGACGATATTATTTGTACGCAATTGACGCGTTAATAACTCCAGGAAATTTTGCATTGTGTTAATTGCCAAATGTCTGACAAATATATGATCAGACTATTTCTTTACTCTTACAGGAAATAGGCTATTCAGAAGTAAATTTTCATTCGCTATTTCTATATACAGAATCCGTATTTGCACGAATACGGAATTTCGTATTTTAGTAATATACAGACTTGTTATAAAAATTCCGTATATTAGTAAAATACGGACTTCGTACATCAAAGTCCCCGTATATTACGAGTGTACGGAGTTCGTATATTAGTCATATACGGACTGATATAATATACGGTCCCGTACATCTCCGTATTTCAAGTTTCCCGTATTCTTACACGTATATTAATGATATACGGAATTCCGTACACTTCCGTATATGCATGTCTTTTTCGCAGTGATGACTGTATTTTTTTCTATTCTATTTCAGATTTTAGCCGTCGCATATGTTATAGGCTTTAGTGGCAATTGCAGATATTTTGTCTTTGGGGCAGCAAGTATGTACATAATTTATAGTTTTATAAGTTAACTAGTATTATAATTAATGAATTACATTTTCATAGGGATATAATAGTAGAGACTTATTAATAGCTGACTATTTTAGCCAGATCTAGTCCAAAAACAACATTTTTCTAAACGATAATGAGAAAGCGAAGTACACATTTATTGTTTAGACATGCTATGATATTACCTCTGTAACATTTTGGGATTTGGGTATATATTGACATAGATATAAGAGAAATATTTAATTGCTTGAGGTTTATCTCTTGTTTTATGAAATTATCTGCATATTTATGTATATGAAAATATAATGCCTCTTAGGTTGAAAGTGATACAATAAATCAATTTGTTTGAAATCATCACATCAGTCTATATTATAGCTATAAATTCACAATGAATGAAATAATGTTCAAAAGACATTATTATTATTATTGAAAAATAAGTATGACATAAATATTTGCTTTAAAGTCACTTTATTGTATTTTTACAGTCGTGAAAATATATTTGATAAAAGTATATACATGTACATAATCCATCATTACTGTCCATCATGAATGCTTCAATTCAATCCTCATTAACATTTTGTTCTTTATCTAAAAAAATTTTTTGATTACTTTCAGGAATAAATGAAAGTTGTGTTACACATGACAATACCAGCTGCAGTGTATGCTGTGCTAGTTCAAAATGCCATAATGATGGTAATTTTCCTAATGCATGTGTAGATGGATGTATAGATGGTCATAGAGGTTCTAGATGCTATGAGCTTTGCAAATTTACATGCAAATCTTGTTATCATGGTGTAAGTTACTGCGATTCATGCTTTGACGGATATTCCCTAGGACCGAATAATGATTGTAAATCAAAGTGTCCATCCAACTGTGAAACCTGTACTTCTGATATTAACTGTACAACTTGTAAAGATGGATTCGTCAATAAAGACGGAAACTTTGATTGTAGATATTCAAATTGTCCTGAAAATTGTCATTGCAATTTTTCGACATGTGTAATGTGCAAAGATGGGTTTTTTGACACAAAAGAATCATGCATGAATAAATGCCCGGACAATTGCTCTAGTTGTTCAACATATACGGATTGTAATTCCTGTAAAGATGGATTTTATAGCAGTGTTGACCAGAAAGTATGTTCAAAGTCATGCTACAAAGATTGTAAAAGTTGCTCCTCGCATGATAATTGTTTGAACTGTAATTCTGGAAAGTTTGGTCGTCAATGTCAGAATAATTGTTCAATTGGTTGCAACGATTATGTTTGTTCCATTGAAATTGGAGAATGTAATTGCTTACCTAACTTTGATGGTAAAAGTTGTTCAGTCTGTGTACCAGGATCTTTTGGTACTTCGTGTAACAAGACATGTCCCGATAATTGTAAAAACAATGTATGTGGGAGAACTCTCGGAAACTGTACAGAAGGATGTAAATCAGATACCATGTCTGGCAGTTACTGTGAAAAGTGTATTGTTAGAAAATATGGGTTAAACTGTGAGAACAATTGCTCGGAAAATTGTTTAGATGGAAAGTGTGACAAGGAGAACGGCACGTGTTCCGCGGGTTGTAAGAATGGTTTCAAAGGAACATTTTGTTTGGAATGTGTTAAGGGTAAATATGGAGGGGAATGTCATGGCGACTGTCCAGATACTTGTAAGGACATTAGATGTGAGAAACAGTCTGGGCATTGCTTTAAATGTAAGGAACATTTTGAGGGAATGATGTGTGATTACTGTAAACATGGCTTCTATGGCTCAGAATGTAAACTAGACTGTTCCTCAAATTGTATGAATGTTTCCTGTAATAAAGATTCTGGGAAGTGTAACCTGGGATGTAAGAATGACTACTCTGGAGATATGTGTTGTTTAAACAACAAGAATTGTTTATACTGTGCAAATACCACAGTTTGTCGTGAATGTAAATCTGGGTACTTTGGTCAATTCTGTAATCAAACATGCAGTGATCTTTGTATAAACAATGATTGTGAGATAAATACTGGTATTTGCACAGAAGGATGTAAAGCGTCTTCGCAAGATGACATAATTTGTGTTCGAAGTCAAGGTAAGTATTGATATTTCACTAGCACTAAATATAAGTGAACTATGTGTGTTGTTTTTTCATGTCAAACATATAATTGTTTTTTGTGTGAAATCGGTATCATACTTTTATCGAATCTACGGTATAAAAATGACACTTTTATAAAACTTATATATTTCTTTGTTAAGTCTTTTCTAAAATGTGAACAAAAAGATGAATAGCAAAGGATATTTCTCTGAATAAATTGGTATTAGTAAAAGCAATATATTTAATCATTTATATATGTAACTATCTAGTTATTAAATGCATGTTTCCAGCCAATTTCACATTGTCAAGAAGACATACATAGTTTTTTCTAGCAATTACCTATAGCCATTCTATTTTTTACGGAATATCTCATAGCAACCATTTTCTTCACTGAATTCTTTTATTAGATACAAAAAAGGCACAACAGATAATCCAGTCAGTATTGCCCCTGTCGTTGGTGGAGTTGCAGGCTCTATTGCTGTAGTAGCTTTGTTTATTTTTGCAACACTTTGTTTTATTAAGCAAAGGTAAGTACTGGCACTTTTGTAAGTAGATAGACCATAATTATAACAATACTACTTTCCAAACAACATTAACAGGCCTGCTTACCATTATATAGAAGATATGTTTTCCTTTTTACTTAATATGGTTCAGTAACATTTTGATTAATAGCCCTTTGTATAACAAGGAAGTTTGTGTCCGTCACGGACACGATGTACCCAGTTTTATTCACATCATATATGTATCGTGCACTTGCATGACATTCAATCGAAAAATATGGACAATACAAATAAAAAATGCATTATTTGATCTTTATTCTTGTTTTTTATATTAAGAAGACATTCGAACCATATTGTTGTATGTAGAGGCTAAAACAGTTGCACAATATGCTACGCAGATCAGGCAGCATTTGGGTGGCATAGAAGGAATAACCAATTTGCTGCAGATTCTTTTGCGATAATCCATGCTTGTATAAACCATTTTGCGACAACAACATGGCTTTTCGCTTCTTTATACATTTTTAGAATAAAAAGAGTTTCCACACAAACACAGTCTACTCACACAACACATTGTAAATAACCCTTGGTCAATCATGGATTCTCAGGTCTCAGAATCTGACAGGTATGCGTGCGCATAGAAGCCAGTAAGAATGTTTGGTACACTAGAATGAACTGGCGGCAAGATGTCCATTTCAATGTCAAGAATGTGATCAGGGTACTTCGACTGTTTAGCGAAACGAGAAATTTATACTTAGTTTAATTCAGATGTAATGGGCGACCTGTGTATTATATAACTATTTATTAATCATTAACATTTTAGTCAGCTTTGCATTTCTGTCTTTCAGAAATAGGCGAACTGAAAATCCGGCTAATAAAAGAAGAAACAGACCCGGATCAAAGAAAGACGAACATGTTTATGAGAATTTCAAAGGTTTGATTAATAATATGCTAACAGCGATGAATAAATATTTGGCTTATGAAACAAATCTTTTGCTTTTATTTGTAAAGAAGTACATATATTACAGTAAATTGAATTTTAAAAGTCTGTCTATAGGTGTTGCTAAGCATTATATTAAGCACCAATACCAAATCGTGAGAGAAATACAAACAAATAATTAACAAGGTAGATATTTTTGACAAACATATGGAAAGTTTGAAATATATTTTCATTTCTTTTTTCATGATTAGCTTATAAATGTGGACATTGTACCATTGATTATGTATCAATTATTTCTAAATACAATTTGACTAGAAAAAGTTTTTCATTCATAAGACTACAGGCTACGAAATATATATTAGAGAGATTTTACATAAATCACAGTCCTCTTTTTTAATGTAGTATGTGTTTTTATTTGTTTGATTTAGATGTACGTGACTTTGAATGTATATTTGTATGTATAAATCTATGTTTAAAATAAAAAGGCAGGTTCACCTTTTCCAAAGCTATAATGAGTAAACAGTTAACTGTTTGTCAAAAGACTTTGGAACAGTTCGCTGTTACCTTATATTCTTTTAAAATATTGAAGTCAGGACATACTATTTCGTATCATTCCTATTTTAATTCATTTCATTTTGATATGCATGTACAAAATAAAATCAATCAATTTGCAGAAACAGAACTGATTGACAATATTCAGGAGGAAGAAAATGCAGATAACTCTGTATTTGTGTCTGTTGATATTGATGAAATTCATACAGATACAAAATCTGGAAAGGTAACAAAGCCTAATAACGCCTATCATCCCGATGACTCAGCAGATGCATCTGACAATGATGAATATGACGGTCCATTTGATTTAGATAACCATAGAGTGAAAGTTACAGATCTATTTTCGTATGTCACCAAGAGACACCCAGATTCTTTTTCAAGTGAATTTATGGTAAATAAGATTTTTTTATCAGTTAATATTTTTTTATTGATATTTCAAATGTGAAAATGATACATCTTCTAATAAACAACCAAAACGGCATTCTCAGTTTTTTTATTATCAATACATTTCGTGAGAAATCATTGAGAATAAAACTAAAAGTTTAAATATCAAAACATTGTGTAAACTATTTGACCAAAAGTAGAACGTTATGACTGGAAATTTTAAGTTAGCTCTTATATAGGTACTGACGTTTGTTTGTTAAAAAAAGAATATTTCCGTTCCCCGCCCGCAATATTTGATTCCCTTTTTATCGTCTTCTATACTATGACCGTATGAATTTGCATTTGAGATATGGCAAAACATGTGTGCATCTAAACATTTTCTCGTTTTATGTGTTTTGTAGCTTTTTTGAGGTAAACTTTCTCCATATATTTCATCTAAACTTAATAATAATTACATTATAACTAGTGGAGTACAATGTAGAATAAAAATAATGTATTTACTATGAAAATGTCTACACCTTTCGAAAATGAAATTCAAACTTAGACGTGATGATATTTTCTATATTAACACGGATTGTTTTTATTAGCCTCTTGAAATATATTTGAAAAATATGTTTCTTTGCTTCCTTGTGACATTTTTGTATAACATTTTGTTTGAGCAATTCGGTTGCATAAGTATACAAACTATTTAAGTGTTTTGTATGTGCTACAGCACTTCAGTAATCATATATGACAGTTCATCAACAATTATATAAAAGTCATTGTTTATGATTTGTATAGTGTTGTGTAAATGATGAAACGTTAAAGATAACAAACACGAAGATTGTTATAGTAGCCTTCTGTCATAAACCTTTTTATTTACTGTTCTTATTTTGTTTATTTTTAAAACACACATTGAGATGACTATGCAAATCGTTCAATTCTAAAGATGATTTTTTGTTTGTTTAAATTAAGGAAGTACATGTATATATACATTAATATAATATAGAACTACATGTGAAAACTTTAATTTGGCAATGTTACAGAATCTCGCTGAAGATCTAGATTTAACAAAACATTGCACCGTTGCCATGAAACCAGAAAATATTTTCTTTAATAGGTACAACAGCTTGTATCCATGTAAGTATGACTTTTCTTCATAGTTTTAAATAGGAGAGAGTTGTGATTTTGTATTTTGACATCGTTCAAAATATTATGCTTCTAAGGATTCTTCTGTTACAAATTATGGAAACACGCAACTCACTTATCATAAGGAAAGGATAAAAATGCTGTCAATTTAATCATAAATAGCAATATTCTAAATATATGATGTCATTTGATCTGTTTGTTGCATTTAGCGTAAATAAAAGACCGGAATGTATGCAAGGATACATACCTTAAGTCATGAGCAAATCCCACATATAAAAGCATTGCATTTTGTCATAGCCCGAATTCGGTATAACGTTGATTGGTGTACATTGATTGAAATAAATAATCAGATGCCTGGATCTTAGTAGTAATTTTAATCACGATAACTTTGATAAACTT